CTCCTCACTCCTCAATCCTCACTCCTCCTCCTCCTCCCCCTCCTCCTCCTCCTCCTCCTCCTGCTCACTCCTCCTCATCCTCCGCCAGGTGGCCCAAGAGGAGCACCAACAGCGCCAGGGCATGCCGCCGCTGTCTCGACTGGCTCTCCGCGGGACGCGTGCGGGGCGGCGGCAGCACGACCGCACGGGCAGGCCTCCGAGGTCCGCCTCCTCGCCCTCGGGCGCGGCAGCGCGCCGCTCCCGCCGCTCCTGGCGGTGCGGCGCGCTTCTTTCGCCATCGCTCGGACGTCCATTCCCTTCGGACGTCCATTCCCCCAAACCCCCTCGCGTCGTGAAGAAGACATGACAGGAGATTTTTCGCCATTTTCGGCCTCGGGGGGCCCTTTACCAGGCCTCAGAACCGTCAACAAACGACTCAGGATGAAAAACCGATCCCGGGGAATGGGTCCAGACCTCTGGGGGTCGACGTTGTGAAACAATCACGACGTACATGTCCGAGCGATGCCAAGTTCTCGGCGGCACCGGGTCGGCCAGGGGTCTTTGGACCGCAGGGCCGGTGAGGCACGAAGCCTGTCCATTGGGCCGTGGGCCAGAGGAAGAGACATCGACGCCGCTACCCTTCCCTCGTCGCCACGGCTGGATTCGCCTCGTTGTCCCGGGCAGGACGCGCCTGAGGAGAGGTCCTGGGAGTAACGGTGCCGGTGCGCATTGTCACCCCGACGACGAAGACGGCAGCTACCACATCGACGACGAGGACGAGGACGCCCATGGTCTCGAGCGCGAAAGATACCCGTACCCTTACCCAGGCGGGGTGGCAGGGGGCGGGGGGAGCGACACGCCGCAGCCGATGGCGGTTGCACAAGACACGGTCGTTTCCGGGCATCCGCTGGCACCGAAGGCGCGCGCGTTCCAATCGGCAGAGTGGCCGACCACGCATTGGTCGCTCTCGGGCTAGGGTAGCTCGGAGGTGCGCCCATGCGCACAATTAAACGTTCTGGGGTTCGGCGCGCAAACTGCGTCCTGGGTGTCCTGAACGGGCGCCGGTGCAATCCCGCGCTCGCCCCAAACGCCTGGGGCCCCGAACGCCAGGCGCGGTCGCCAGGTGCTGCTCCCTGGAAAAACCGCTTGGCGTCACCCCAGCTGGGTCTGGGTACCTGTCGGGGGGCACTGTCGCCGACGCGCGTTGATGGTACCCCCGGAAACATACCCGTACCTAGTCGGGGTGGCGTCTGGTCGAAATCGCTCTGGGGCGCACGCGCGGCACCCGAGAGCTCCCCCGAACGCGGCCGCAGCGGCCCCTGGGGGAGCGTCAGATTGCAACGACGCTCCCGCGGGCAGGCCGAAACGCAACGGAGTGGTGGTGCCTGTCCCGAAAAGGGACAGGCACACCACCCCAATGCTGTTCTAAACCCCGCGGACCCCCCCGATGCCCCCAGACGTCCCTGGCGCAAACCAGGGCATGTCGCTGCAATCGAACAACCAGCCATTCAGCGTGTCGATGCGTCCTGACGCGCGGATGCTGAACCAGCGCGCACGCGGCAGGCTGATCGGGCGCAGTGACAAGCGCCCAATCCAGCGGACGGCCCTTTTCACCGAGGCCGACCCCGGGTAAGGGTATGTTTGGGACCAATGACATGGCGACGGCGAGGGCGATGGCGACGACGGCGGCACAACGCGAAGCGACCGCATCCTCTGCGCTGGGCGCACTTCGAGCCGCCGTCGAGTCCAGGATTGACTCGGCCTTGTCCTCCTCCGTCGCGGCGCCTGTCGCCCCACCGCGTCAGGGCGGTGCTCGTCATCCTCTGTCGCCCCTGCCATTCCCTTTCCCTTCCTCTCCTGCACTAGCGCGCTGCTGCGACGGATTCCGTTCCCCTCTCCTCCTTGCCTACTTGCCTCTTTGCCTCTTTGCTTCTTTGCTTCCTTGCCTCCTTGCCTCCTTGCCTCCTCCTCCCTGGTTTTACCAGCACTCATGGACTGCAGCAAGCGATTACAAAAAAAACATGCATCTATCAAATCCGAGGTGCAAGCCTCACGCTGGCCTGTGGGCCGTAGGCAAGTATGCAACCAACCACGCGTCGTCCCTCAAGGGCTGGCAACTCTTGAGTTCCGACGACCGAGCGAGCGTACCTGTGATGGAAAGATGGCGTGACCTTCCACCGGGTCGCGAAGCACGGGGAAGACAAGCTCTCCGTCGGTGCGCCCAACGACACGCCGCACATAAGATGCGTGCTCCCGATCTCTGCTGGTGCCATGCAAAGGGGGGCGGAAGCCTGGATTTCACGGCCGCTCCGCTCACAGTCCTCATCATGGGGCAGAAATTGGCCTCCGATTCTAAGCGTCGAGCGTACTGCGATAATTCTTGTTCTGCGCAACAAACATAGTAAAGCAATGTTGTATGCCTGAGGTGATCCAGACAAGCTCAAGACAGGTGGGGCGTGCCAATTCAATGATACACAACATATTTGCTCCTGGTCAGCCCGTTGGCACAAGAAACCTGTGCATGCTCCACAATTATATCTACGACTTCCAGTGTTACATAGGCTGTGAAACGCCGTTGTAGCGCAGATCGGTCAGCACAGGCAGGTGCCGCCGGAGGGGAGCGGGAGAAGGTGTCTAGAGTTAGATAGAAGACCCGAGTGCTTCGTAGGCCCTCAGGGCGCCAACGCGACTGCAATCGCGAACAACTAATCATGCAGAAACCCTAGGAGTCCACATACTGACACAATCTGGCACGAAGGGCCGGACACTCTCGGTAAACAGTGAATTCTGAAGCCGCTGGGCGACTGCCATGACTGCAATCAATCGTGCGTGCGACTTGGGATGTCTGCGACCAACAGGTCGCTCCCCTCACCTGATTTCGTGCTTGCCCCTGAAATCGTTGTGGTGCTTCTTTGTTTCCGTGCGATACTGCAACCATGCTCGAAATGCATAGCCCGATGCATCGTCTCAAAACTGTCCTCGGACCCTATTGGAAGGATGTTCGAACAATCTTGAAGCCCCGGCGGCTCCTGCAGCGTTTTCTTGGAGGACCCCCCTGGGCGCCCCCGCGAACAGAAATCTAAAATAAGTCGTTACACGCTTACTAATTTGGAACGTCAGGGGAACTCTGGCGACCTGCATCAGACAACACACTTGTTTACGTGTGTGTGTGTGGGTGTGTGTGAGAGGGGACGCTCGCGCGCTTCGTACAGCTTAGCTTCACGCGACGCCATACTTGCATCCATCCGCCACATCGAGCCCAAGATGCGTTCGTCCGAATGCTGGCTCAGGCCCCCCCACTTTCCCCCCCCAACGCGAGAAGATGTGATGCCCGAATCAGACGCGCGGGCGGGACCGGCCGTGCCCACCCCCGCCCTCTCCCCCCGGCTCCACCCCCGTACACTCCCCCCCGCCCCTAGGCGCCCCCCGCCCAAGGGCAGGACTGGGCAAGGAATCGTTACTCGTCCGGGAGAGGCGACGGCTCTCGGATGGTAGACTGCTGTGGTCTGCGCTGCGAGCGGATGAGCTCGGCCACTTGGCTGGCGCGGGATCGTGGTCCCACTCTTGCCTCTGCCTCCTCGCTATCCTCCTCCTTCTCCACTTCCGATCTCTTCTTCTTGCCTGACTACTGGGCGTGAAGACAGCTACATTGATCAGCACATTCCTCCGCTGCATCTGCATCGCCTTTTCAGCCAAGTCATCCTGTGTTCTCTTCTCCCCGTCCTCCCCTCTCTGCTGTTTGTTCGTCCCGTCATCGCCGTCGTCGTCGCCGTCGCCGCCGCAGTCTTGATGACACTGCCCTTGCTGTTGATGCCGCTCCCGTTTCCTCTGCTCCTGCTCCTCTGGAATCCTTGTCAGTTTCATGCGAACGCGTACAACGGTCGGGACCTCTCGCTCAGCGTGTCGCGGCGGCGGCCCCGGCGACACGCTGTGCCTTGCGCACGGATGGCGTGTCGACCGCGACGTGGATAGCGTGTCGCGCCGAGGCCTGGTGGGCCACAGCCGGCGGCCCTGCACGCTCTCACAAAACGCTCCCAACCGCAACTTCGATACTTCCACCAGCAGCAGATGCTGCCGCAGGCCTCGGCCGCCTTCGGAGAACACGACCACGAGGTCGAAGCGGCTCAGGATCGGAGGTGGCAGCCCAGAGTTGACCTGGCTCGAACAAATTGTGAACGAAGGTGAGGAGGAAGACACATGAGCGACGGAAAGATCCGGGTCTCACGCAAGATGACATAACGACCTTACGCCGCGGCTTACGCGGGCCGCCAGCGCGGCACGCCACATTGGAAACGAAGGCGCTTACGCGCGACCTTACGCGGGCAGCTTATGCTCCAATGTCGGCGCAGACGACCCCGTTTTCTTACGTCACTGAAATGGCAAGAGGATGAGGACGAAAAGCTACAATCCCCATTGGCAGAGACGTGAACGAAGTTCAAGATTCGGTTTGCCAGGGCCGTGGATGTTAGCCCATGGATATACTACTACTACTACTACTACTACTACTACTGCTACTACTACTGCTACTACTACTACTACTACTACGACTACTACTACTACTACTACTATACTAACTATATACGACTACTACTACTCCTACTACTACTACGACTACTACTACTACTACTACTACTACTACAACGACGACGACTACTACTACTACTACGAATATTACTACTACTACTACTACTACTACTACTACTACTACTACTACTACTACTACTACTACTACTACTACTACTACTACTACTACTACTACTACTACTACTACTACTACTACTACTACTACTACTACCTACTACCTACTACCTACTACCTACTACCTACTACCTACTACCTACTACCTACTACCTACTACCTACTACCTACTACCTACTACTACTACTACTACTACTACTACTACTACTACTACTACTACTACTACTACTACTACTACTACTACTACTACTACTACTACTAGCACTACTACTACTACTGCATCTCGAAGGCGGTCCGATAGGCGTCTACGACAACGACAGAACAAACACATACCAAATCGACGTCGGAAACTGACCAAACTGAATGACCAAATGCAGCCTAGAGGGACACAGCAGCGCTGCCACCGACCGAAATGCGGACACGCTTGGGTCCCCTCCCCCCCCACATCCACCTCGTCCTCCTCATTCTCCATCCTTATGCCCATCCTCCTCCTAGGTACCCCTCCTTATCCGTCCTGCTCCTCCGGCATACCCTACAGGCCCCAACTCCTCCCTGATCAGCCTCCTGATCCTGCTGCTGCTCCTCCTGATCCTCTTTGCCCCTTCCACTTCCTTCCTGACCCTCCTGCTCCATTTCCATGTTAATATGTCTTCCTGTCGCACCCCCAAGCGTGTCCGTAGGACGGGCCAGGTGTGTTGCCTGAACCTTCCTCGCCGTTTATGAGCATAGAGCTTCAAATTTCCAACGGCGTCACGGATGGAGGGCGGGCCCATTTTCACAATGTGGCTCTCGCCTCAGCGCCGCGCGCGTTCGTGTCAACAGTTCGCAACAATTCCACGGACTGATGGCGGGTGGTTGTCAAAATGTGGCGCTCGCCTTCACGCCGCGCGCATGAATCTTAAACACTTGCAACAATTTCACGGATGGATGTCGGATCCTTGTCATTGTCAAAATGTGACTCTCGCCCTAGCGCCGCGAACACTCGTATGAAACATTTCCAACCGTTTCGCGGATGGAGGGCTGGTCTTTTTCAGACTGTTACTCTCGCATCCGCGCCGCGAACATTCGTCTTGAAAGTTTGCAACCGCTTCAAAGATGGAGGGCGGGCAATTCTCAAGACGTGGCTCTCGCTGGAGCGCTGCACGTATTCGTCTGAAAAGTTAGCAACAGCTTCAAGGATGGAAAGTGGTTCCTTTGCAACATGTGGTTCTCGCCCTAACACCGCGCGTATTCGTCTTAAACGTTGACACCTGTTTCAAGGACTCGTGTGGTCGAAGTCCGAATGATGATTCAGGATTGCCAGGACGCAGCAGTCACGTTGATTCGCGGTGTTGAAGTCCCCAGGATGGTGTTCTAGCACGGTTTGGGATGGTCAGCGCGCAACAGTCATGTTGCTCTGAGCCGTAGAAGTCCCAAACACATGTTTTTTGTTGCACGGTGGAGAATTCTCATGCCATTGTCTTCTAATGGGCCACTTCCCGGAGAGACGGACCCTTGCAGAGAGAACTTGGAGGGACGGTTGACTGCAGAAACGTTTATGCATCTTGGGTTTACGCTGGTCCTCCTCCTCCTGCTCCTCCTCCTTCAAACCTCGAACCTCCTCCTCCTGCTCCCCCTCCTCCTGCTCCTCCTGCTCCTCCTCCTGGTCCTCCTGCTCCTTCCTCCTCCTGCTCCTCCTCCTGCTCCTCCTCCTGGTCCTCCTCCTCCTCCTCCTTCAAACCTCGAGCTCCTTCCCGCGGAATTGCAGAGGGGACTCCCGCCGTGGCGACGAGGAGGCCACCCGCAGGCCTGCACAGAGGCGGTGCGCGCACACTGTTCTCGGCCCTCGATTCTCTCTGCGCCTGCTCGCTCCTCCTCGAGAAGTCCACTCCGGGCGTGCAGTACGAAAACCGACAGCATCTATCAAGATGATTCGAAGAATACGAATAGTTTCGCAGATCTGGCTCGAGTAGCAGACCACGTCCAGACCTCTGGATGTAACAGAAGAGCGCGCCTGATGATTCCAATCGATTCGTGTGCGTACCAGCTCTGTAGCTCTCTGACTCACTTTGGCGGCGCGCAAAAGGGGGTAGGGGGAGGGGGGAAGGCTTCTTAGAAGCACCCTGCTTCCTAGAAGGCCTCGGCCTGACGTCTACAGAGAAGGCCCGCGCCTTCTAAGAAGCAGGGGTGCTTCTGAGAAGCCTTCCCCCCTCCCCAATACCCCCTTTTGCGCGTTGCCGATCACTCACGGGGCACTCCGCGTTCCCAGCACTGTCGGCAGCAAATTGGCATCGGTCGTGCCGGCCAACTTCTGGCGTCGCACCGCATCGTCCTGCAGGACGCTCGCTCCAAGCAAGGGCGAGTCACGTGCACCTTGCGCAACAAACATGTGAAATGAATGTGTACGAGGCATTTTTTTTTGTCCTGGGGTTATTTTGAGATGTCTCAACGAATATGTTCCGCCCTCATCCGCCCTCCTCCTTCTCGTCGTTGTCGTCGTTCCTCCTCCTCGCCGGTTTCCCAATCTACCGACCGAGCTACCTAACTACCTACTTCCCCCCGCTCTTCAACCCGTTCCTCCCCTTCCTCCAAGATGTCACTACCCTCCTCCATCACCCATTATCCGTATCCTACCTACCTAACTCATTCGTCATGCTTCCTCCCTCGTTCTCCTCCGTTCTCCGGCCCAGCCGAATTATCCTTGTGAATCCCTGCTCGTCCTTCCTCCCTTCCCGGGTCTCCCTCGTCAAACTTGCCCGCATTCCTCCCCCAATTCCTTGTACATGTCCCTCAATCCGTACCCCGATTCCTCCTCCTCTTCCTCCTCCTCCTCTTCCTTCACCC